CCCCAGTCGTTTATCCCGTTTCTTGACCTCTGTCCTGGAGCCGCCAACCAAAAAAAGTAACCCCACCACCCCATCCAGAAACGATGTCCAGGCGAGTTGCCCTGACCAGGAATGTCGGGGAGCATGCAGTGGAAGAAAGGCTGGGAAGCCGTCGTATCCTCAGAGGGGGAGGATGGAGGAGGAGGAAGAGGTGGAGGAGGAGGAGCAGCAGGAGGAGAACGGGGATGAGGGCGAACAGAAAGGCCAGAGGCCTGTTGGTGCTTCTCGGAGTCTCTTCGGTTGTCTCTTGAGAGCTAATCATATGCATGTTGGCGCGTCTTGTGGGCCTCTTGGCGGTCCCGGGGGCCCCGTGAAGCGTCTGAGGAGCCTTTGGGGGCTTATCGGTGGTCTCTTGGGAGCCTCTTGGGGGCATCGTGGGGGCCTCTTGGGGCCTCCTGGGCGCCTCTTGGGGCCCTCTTCGGGCACTTTTGGGAGCCTCGGGTGCCATCTTGGAGATGATCGATCAAAGCTGGGGGGGTACTCAAGTAGGGCCTCCGAGGCCAAAATTGGACCAAAACCTTGGTACAAATATCGTGGACCCCAAAAAGTGTGCTTCAAGCAATCCATGTTGTGAAATCTATGTGGGGCAATCTACGTGATGCAATCTATGTGGTGCCATATATGTTGTGCAATGTATGTTGCGCAACCTGTGTTATGCAGTATGCGTTGTGCAGTCTACGTGGCGCGGTCTATGTAGTGCAGTCAATCACTTGCTCAACTTGAAGCTGTCCTCTCCACTGCTCGCGCAAACATCCCACCCTCCCACCCGCAATTTGGTTTGCAAAACCTCTTAAGACCGACTACGACGACACCGACGACAACGACGACGACGACGACGACAACGACGACGTCTCCGACGACTTCGACGACGACAACGACGCCGACGCCGACGACGACGAAGACGACGACGGAGGACGGCGACGACGCGAACGACGACGAAGGAGGAAGGACGGCGACGCCGACGACGACAACGACGAGGGAGGAGGGAAGCCGACGACGACAACGACGACGACGACGGTGACGAAATAGAACCGACGACGAGACGCCGACGACGGACGACGACGACGACGTGGGAGGAGGAGGACGAGCGACCACGGCGACAACGACGACGGAAACGACCACGACGCCAAAGAGGACGACGACGACGAACACGAGAAAAGACAGAGGACGACGTAGGCGACGACGACGACGACGCGGGAGGAGGGAGGACGGCGACGACGACGACGACGGCGCAAGAGCGCGCGCGCACGCTTTTGTTGAAAATCCGCGTTGCGAAACCTTCGGTTGTTGTAGGCTTTTTGGACGCACGATTGCGAAATCCGTCCGAAACCGATGGGTTTTGAAGGTTTTCGGCATACGCCCGCGACGACGCTCGCGTCTGCACTTCGTCCCATTTTTTGCAGAGGGTTCTCGCGACGGCACACGCGCAAGGGCGTTCGACAGATTTCGACATGCGCGCGCGCGAAGCCCGTTTGGTAGCATGTTGTGAAAATCTTGAAAAACCTATGGTTTTCTTAAGATTTCGCAAGAGCTCGCGCGGAAGTTTTTTTAGCAAATCAGTGTTGCGAAACCCTATGTTTTTGTAGGTTGTTTGGAAACTCGATTGCGAAATCCTTCCGGCACCGAAGGTTTTTGAAGGATTTCGGCATGCGCGCGCGACGACGCGCGCGCGTGCACTTCGTCTTATTGTTTGCAAGAGATTCGCGAAAAAGCGCTATGTTAGAACAAACAATGTCACCGCATAGTGTTTTTTTTGCAAGGGCACCTCAGGGGGGGGGAACCCGGCCTAGCTGGGATGGTACGATTTCATATTTAGAATGAACGAGTTGTCAGAACCATACATGATTTACATACCCGAACGGGGAACGGATAAGTCCGGGGGGGGGAGAGTCTATTCTCCTTTGAGAAAGGAGAATCTATGATGCGCAATGCATGTGGAGCAACATGTCTGGTGCAATCTATGTCGCACGATTCTGATGTGCAGTCTATGTGGTGCAATTAACTTCTGTTCGCAGCGAGTTGTCCACTCCACTGCTCGCGCAAACATCCCACCCACCCACCCGCAACTTGGTTTGCAAACCTCATGCGGCGGCGATTGCGATGAGTGCTTCGCGCTGGCTGTTGCATCTCTGCGGCCGCGCCAGCCCGCGCATGCGCGCACGCAGCGGCCAGGTAGTCTGGCGCGGACGACGCGGCCGCGGTGGTGTTGACCGCTCGGCACATCCAGGCGGGCATGTGAGTGCGAGCCGGCGACTTGGACGGGCGCGGTATCATGGCAACGCCGACAAGGGTAGACACGATGATGATGATGATGATGATGATGATGATGATGATGACGACGATGATGATGGTGATGGTGATACGGTAGAGGGAAACAATTATTGAACACTCTCCCCCCAAAAACTCAATGTTGGCACGCGCGGGGGGGCACTGCGGCCGAAGTGCATCTCATCAGACCCAC